ACCAGGGGGGGTGTTTGGGGTCACCAGGGGGGGTGTTTGGGGTCACAGGGGGGGGTGTTGAGGTCACCAGGGGGGTGTTTGGGGGGCACTCGGGGGGGTTTCTCTCTGTCTGAGCTCTGGAACCACCAAAAGAGGGACAAGCCTTGAGGGCAGGGCACGAGCTGAGTGTCCCCAAGGGGGGGTCCTCCCTCTCTGTGACCCCCAAGGGGGGGTCCACCCCCTCCCTGTGACCCCCTGGCCGTGGGACAGATCCGTGTCCCCGGGCCTGGGTGGGTGCTGAGCACCCAAAGGAGGGGGGGGGTCTCCTCCCTGCCCTGCCTGGGGGGGCTTCCCAAGCCTCGTGTCCCTCGTGGGGAGCCAGGAGAGGCCCAGGGGGGGCACAAAGACCCCTGAGCTGCCCCCGTGGTGGGCACTGGAGCCTCACCTGGCCCCAAATCCGTGGATCCCACCCCTCTGGCAGCACCACCATCCCCCCCCCTGGACTTCTCTGGGGCTCAGTGGTGGCTCCCACCTGCCCTTCCCGCTCGGAATTCCCTGGTTTTGGGGCTCAGTGGTGGCTCCCACCTGCCCTTCCCGCTCGGAATTCCCTGGTTTTGGGGCTCAGTGGTGGCTCCCACCTGCCCTTCCCGCTCGGAATTCCCTGGTTTTGGGGCTCAGTGGTGGCTCCCACCTGCCCTTCCCGCTCGGAATTCCCTGGTTTTGGGGCTCAGTGGTGGCTCCCACCTGCCCTTCCCGGCTCAGAATTCCCTGGTTTTGGGGTAAATGAGCCCAAATCACCCCCCTTGGGGCTGGGGCTGCTCTGGGTGGGGCCCCCCCGGGCTGTGACACCCCCGGCCTCCTCCCCTGGATGGATTCTCTGCCATTTCTGACCCGGCCAAGGGGTCGAAATCCCCTTTTCCACCCCGGGACCGGCGGCAGTCCCGCCCCAGCCCTGTCCCCAGGTGAGTTCTGCTGCTCCTCCGCGGCTCCCACCGACCTTTTCCTCCTCTGGGAGGCTCTTTTCGGGTGCTGAACCCCCTCCCCCCCTTCTCCTGGCAGCTCCAGAACCTCCTCCCTGGTGGCTGGAAGGGCAGGGACCCTCGTGGAGCCCCCACCCCAGGGCAGGTAACGCTCCATTTGCTCTCCCCCCACCCCCTGTCCCGGGACCCCCACGTCCAGTTCTGGGGGTGGGAAGCTCTGGGTGGGGTCTGGGCCCTCCTGGCTGAGGCCAAAAGTGAATTAAACGTGGGGTTTCCCAAATTTTCCTTCCCCCTTTTTGTCGCAGCAAGCGGGAAGTGGAGGCGAAACCCCGGTTTGTGAGCAGAGCAGGAGCTTCCAGACCCTCAGGGGCCTCCCCCCTCTCCTCCCTCCCCCCAGGTAAAGCCACCCTTGAGCTGATAAAAACCTGGTTTTCAGCTCCTTGGGGGGGAGACCCAAATCCCAGCCCCTCTCCCCAAACCCCTAATTCCTCCTCCCCCCCTGTAATCCCATTTTTAACGGGTCTCTCCTCCATTCCAGGGCCCCAGGCGGGAAGAGCTGCCGTTCCCGGGGGACCAGCCGTGGATCAGAGCGGGCTGGGACCCCCAGCCAGGGCGTGGGGGAGGGCTTTGGGCACCCCCAATAAAGGATTCGTTCCCCCCCCCCCCCGGTGCCTGAGCCTGTGTTTGTTCCAGCGCCTCCTGCCCGGGCTGGGGGGAAAGGGGGAGGAACAGGAGGGAGCTGGGGGGGAGTTTAGGGGGGTTCCTGGGGGCTCCTGGGCTGGGGACAGTGAGGGGACAGCGAGGGGACAGCGAGGGGGCTCACCCAGCTCTTTCCCGTTGCAGCTGCAGGCGGAGGAGCCGGAGCAGCGACGAGGAGGCCGCTCAGATCGGCCCCAAAAGGATCAGGTGCCCGGGAATGGGGGGCAGGGAAGGGGCTGGAGGGGAGGGGAGGGAGGAGGGTGGAGCAGGGAGAGCCAGAGCCACATCCCAGAGCTTTCCCTGACTGAGGGTTTTCCCACCTTTTCCCTTCCAGGAAGGCGGCGAAGCGCGAGATCCTCCTCTGCGACTTCGAGGGCTGCGGCAAAATCTTCTCCAACCGCCAGTACCTGAACGTGAGACCCCCCAAAAACACCCCAAAACCATCCAAAACCTGCCCAAAAGCACCCAAAACCCACCCGAAACCCACCCAAAACTACCCAAAACCATCAAAACCCCACCCAAAACGACCCCAAACCTACGCCAAACCCACCAAAGCTCCCCCCCAACCCCTCCTGGCGCCCCTGGGGGGGTGGTGGGCTGGGTCGTTCTGGGGTCTGGATTTGGGATCTGAGCGCGGCTTTCCCGCCCCGGCAGCACCACCAGAAGTACCAGCACGTGCACCAGAAAACCTTCACCTGCTCCGAGCCCTCCTGTGGGAAGTCCTTCAACTTCAAGAAGCACCTCAAGGAGCACGAGAAGCTGCACAGCGGTGAGGGGGGGGGGAGCCCAGGGGGATCCCAGCCCTTTCCAGGGGGATCCCAGCCCTTTCCAGGGGGATCCCAGCCCTTTCCAGGGGGATCCCAGCTCCATCCAGGGGGATCCCAGCCCCTCCAGGGGGATCCCAGCCCTTTCCAGGGGGATCCCAGCCCTTTCCAGGGGGATCCCAGCCCTTTCCAGGGGGATCCCAGCTCCATCCAGGGGGATCCCAGCCCTTTCCAGGGGGATCCCAGCCCTTTCCAGGGGGATCCCAGCCCTTTCCAGGGGGATCCCAGCTCCATCCAGGGGGATCCCAGCCCTTTCCAGGGGGATCCCAGCCCTTTCCAGGGGGATCCCAGCCCTTTCCAGGGGGATCCCAGCTCCATCCAGGGGGATCCCAGCCCCTCCAGGGGGGGATCCCAGCCCTTCCCACACGGATTCCAGCTGCTCCCACGGGGGTCCCAGCCCTTTTCCCATCCCCTCATCCCGCCATTCCCATCCCTGTGATCCATCCCTGCCCCCCGGGGGGGTTCCCAGGCGGGATGAGGGGCCGATCCCGCTCCCTTTTCCCCCCAGACAAGCGGGATTACATCTGCGAGTTCTGCGCCCGCTCCTTCCGCACCAGCAGCAACCTCATCATCCACCGGCGCATCCACACCGGGGAGAAGCCGCTCCAGTGAGTCCCAGTCCCATCCCTGCCCCTCCCAGTCCTTCCCAGTGAGTCCCAGTCCCATCCCTGTCCTTCCCAGTGAGTCCCAGTCCCATCCCTGTCCTTCCCAGTGAGTCCCAGTCCCATCCCTGTCCTTCCCAGTGAGTCCCAGTCCCGTCCCTGTCCTTCCCAGTGAG